CTCAGTGATCTATCACAAAAACAAAGAACAGAGTACCATATGTTCTCACTCATAAGCGGACCTTGAACAATTACCATAATGCTTTAAGAAAGGGATTGGCAGTCTTGGAAAACTGCCAGGGAAAGTGGGGGTGGGATTGGCAGTTGAAGGAAACTGCCAGGGGAGGGATGGGCAAACCTCATCAACAAGGGTAGCTGCATAATGAACATTTGTATACCTAACCCTGAATTGTCCACCCATCTTCAAAATAAAGAAAAATAAAGTGTCCCCAAAAGAACAACTCAGTGATTTACACAAATGAAAAGTATTCAAGAAATACAGCCTTGCAACTACTTTGTTCCCCTTCTTATGGGCCACACCTCATGTCCTCCTGAAGGAAACCTCAGCCTCACTTTCTTTTTTAAAGTTTATATTTTTATATTAAAGATGTGGGATACAATTCAGGATTAGGTAGATAAGCGTATAGGTAAGCTTTGGGCCTCCCTTTGGTCCTCACTTCTACTGATTTGGGATCACGTACCCTTATTGGTGTTATGTGCTCTCTACCCCACCCTCCCCTGCAGCGTACCACTACTTCCAATCTCTTTCTTGCAGTATTATGATAAATGTTCAGGGTTCACTTATAAGTGAGAGCATGTGGTACTCAAGTTCTTTGTTTCTGTGATAGATCACTGAGTATGATCGACTCTAAATCCATCCAAGTTGCTGCAAAGTACATAATTTTGACCTTCTTGATAGCTACATAATATTCCATCATGTGTATGTACCACATTTTAAAAATTCAGTCCACTTTCAAGGGGCTGCACAGTTGGTTCCAAAATTTTGCTATTGTGAATAAAACTGCAATAAACATGCATGTGAGGTATCTTTTTCATAGAGTGATTTGAGTTTCTCCAGGTATATTCCCAGAAGGAGAATTGCTGAGTCCTATGAAAGGTCGATTTTTAGGTCTTTTAGGAATCACCACACTGTTTTCCACAGAGGTTGTATTAGTTTACACCAACAGCGTAGAAGAGTTCCCTTTTCCCTGCATTCTCTCTAGCATCTGTGGTTTTTGCATTATTGATGGTGGCCATCATGAATGGAGTTGGGTGGTATCTCAGTGTGGTTTTAATTTGCACTTCTTTGATGATTACTGAGGCTGAGGATTTTTTCCTATATCTGCTGGCTTCTTTTGAGAAGTGCCTATTCATATCTTTTGCCCATTTTTTAATGGGACTATTTGTTTTTTCCCTTTCAGCACCTTTGAGTTCTTTGTAGATCCTGAATATAGGCCTTTGTCAGAGATGCAGTTAGAAAATATTTTTTCCCATCTGCAGGCTGTCTTTCCCCTCTGTTGATGGTTTATTTTGCTTTGCAGAAGCTTTTCAGTTTGATGAGGTCCCACTTGTCTATCTTATCTCAAATGCAGTGTCACTTTAATGCTCGCTGCCTCCCTGCTTTTCACTTGATCATCTGAGAACACTGCCTTGAATTCTGTGGCCTCTTGAGGCCCATTCTTGCACAATCCCTCTCTTCCAGTAGGGGAACTTGCTGCATCACAATGGTCGGAAGGATTGGGCCATGGCTTCTCAATGTCCTGGGGTTCCCAACTTGCAGAGAAAAGCAAAATGGGAAGGACAGACACAGGAAGGCCACAGGAAATCTAACTGTGTGCGGACACTAAGGTTCAGGGTGCCAAGTGACATGATCTAAATGTTTGTGTCACCCTAAAATTCATAAGGTGAAATTCTAACCCCCAGAGTGACAGTATTAGGAATTGGAGTCTTTGGAATGTGACTGGGTCATGATGGTGCAGCCCTCATGAAAGAAATTTGTCCCTTGTAAGAGAGACTTGAGGGAGCGTGTTTCTCCTTCCATCACATGAGGACATGAGAAGGCACTATCTGTGAGGAAGGAGGCCCTCACCAGACACTGAATCAGTCTGTACATTGATCTTGGTCTTCCCTGCCTTTCTATGTGTTTTGTTATAACAGCCTGACTGGACTGAGATGGCAGGTGACCTGTCCCAACCACACAGGTGCCCTGTCTCATGCTCTGGGGTCTGCCCAGGAGCCATATTATCTCTCTTGTCTGTGCAGAGTGGACTGAGCTGGAGAGGGGAGGCTTGTGTTGATTTCAGAAGGAAGAACTGAATGAGGGAAGATACTTCATTCATTCATTCAGCCAGCCTCCAGGCAGTGAGCAGCCATGCTGTGCCTCGAGATGTCCAGCAATGGTGAGAAGGACAGACCCAGCCTTCCCTTTGAGGAGAGCAACATCTGGCTGGGAGACAGAGAAGTCACCTGACCTTCCCAATGCCAGAGGGCAGGTGGCTGTGGTGGGGGAGACACAGACTGGAGATGAGGGTTTTGTTCTTCTGGAGTGGGAAAGGAGCTCTCAGGAGGGAGTGGGCAGAGTGGACATGGTCGGGACTCAGGTAGTCACAGGATGTGGATTCGCAGAACTCTGGAATTCCGAACTTGGGGACGTGCTCCCAATCTCTCTCATCCTCCCATGATTCTGCAGATCCTCAGTAGCTACTGAGTTCTGCCCTCTGTATGTGACCACCCACCTCTGACCCATCAGAACCAGGGATCGCCTACAGGGGCACTCCCTCTGCCCAGGGTAGACTCTGGCTCCTGAGAATGCCCAGTCAAGGGTGGTGGCGCTTTCTGTGGTGCTGATGCAGACTTGAGCCCAGATATTGGAGATGTCTGCAGCTCTGCGGAGGGGCCTGGTTACACAGAGCAGAGGCTCCAGGTTGGAGTAATACGGTCACAATTTCAGATGTGTTGGGAGATCCCAGTTTCATTTGGAAAGAGGCATTTGGGAGGAATATTGGCGTCTGTTTTTCCTCTTTGTCTTTTCTGTTCAACTTCAAGGGTGTCCCATAAACAGAAACAAAAAACTGAATACTGCGTGTTCTCACTCATAAGCGGGCCATGATCATTGAACACCTGAGACTCAGGTGGGAACAACAGTGCCAGACACTGCTGTAAGAGGGAGGGAGGATGGATAAGGGGCACACAATCTCACACTCAGTGCCATGTCCACTAGCCTCCAAGTTCCTACAAGGCTTTAGGGCCCCAAGCAGCCTGCACCATCCTCCCCACCGCTCCCTCCTTCTGCCTCTCTCTGCCTCAGACTCGGGCCTCTGGGTGTGTCCGCAGCTCCCAGGCCTGATGCTGCCTCTGAGCACTCACTCCTGTTCCCTTTCCTTCCTCCTGGGAGACTTTTCTCTGAGGCAGACACAGAGCTGCTTCCTCACCTCCTCCATGTCTTTACCCAGACATCATCTGCCCCCACCACACCCAGATACTGTTCCCTATCTGTCACAAGCTTCTTTCCCTGCATGATTTTCCACCAAACACAGATCACTATCCTACAGGTCTTCTTTATTATTACTTTTTTTCTTCTGGTTTCCAGAATGTCAGCACCTTGAGGACAGAGATATCTTTTATTTTCTGTTTTAATTTTGGTAAAATATATGTAATATAAAATTTGCCATCTTAACACTCTACAGTGGCATTAAGTGCTTTCCCATTGTGCAGGCCTCACCACTGTTCATTCCCAGAACTTACTCATCAACACAAACAGAAACTCT